AGAAGTCAACTCTGCTTTTTAAAATTCTCTTTAATTCATGAAAGTATCTCTGTGCTCCTGCCCTCCAAGATGAAGTGTTTCTTTTTATTGCTTTCATTTATCTTTACTTTTGCTATAATCGTGGGTTTTCTCTTTCGCATTGAATTTTACTTTAGTGACTTTTGCATCCCAATACAATTTTGTAAAAGGGAACACGCATGTGTGTCAGTGTACCTTTGCTAAATTTGATTGGTGGATTCTGATTTATAATGAGCAGGTGGAAGCAGGCCATTTGCAGAGGTATTAAAAAATGTCAGTATGTAAGAACTTTTCTCTGGGAGCACTGAGCTGCTCTAGAAGAGAAATCCTGTGCTTTTCGGTTTAAGAATACACATCTAGCTAAATACATTTCACATGTTCGGCAGGCTCTAGGGTCCTGACTTTTCTGTGCATATACTGCTAAACAACACCCCTCGCTGCACTGCAGTGCCTCATCCTGTGTGTCCCCAGAACATTTTCACTTCGACAAATCAGTTCTTATGCCCTCCTTTCACATTTAGCTTTCTAATGACATGTTAACATCTCTTTTCTGATATGTCTTTCCCCAGCTCTCCTGGTACTTGTGGTTTTATATTTATTTTATTAATTTACCTTCATTTTAGTGGAATCTTTGGAGGAAACAGTTGCAAAACACATGTAGTATATCCTCCAAAGCCCACAGACTGAAGTTTTATTATCATCTCTTCTTTTCTTCTCTCCCTCACTTGTCTTTTCCCTAATATTGTACCTAATTCTTGACCACAACACCAATCAGAGATAAATTTTAAAATCACCTATGTTATTTTGAAAGCTTCTTGCTCACTCATTTTACCTTTATAAAGTAAGTAAGGTTTAGGAAGTCTTTCTAAATGAGGAAAAATAACCTACAATTCAATTTCAATAGTTTCACTTCAAATGCACTTCAATTATTTTGTCTCATCTGACTGTTAATTTCTCCATGTCATAGCAGTGTAGACAAAGCACAGGATCTTCACTTTATAGACCAGTTTTGTGCATTCATTAATTTATTTTTCAAATCTCACAATCTGCTTCTTGTCAAATACTTAAATAAATTGAGTGTGGGGAATGGATGAGAAGGAATACTGAGATCATTATCTTTTCAGAAGAGTTGTAGAACATACTTTATGTTCTTTTTTAAAAAAATTCATTTTCAGCATTCTTTGGGTAGATAAATAGTCATTATTTTGACACATACTTCAACAGTTTCTAATAATTTATCATAGTTCTTCTCTATCTGCAAACCACCCCACACTTCTTCTTGGCCACCAAAAAAGCATTTTAAGACATGAAAAATCTAAGTCTATCTCATTTTCCTCAAGACATCTGTGGTAGTTTTTGGCTATCTGAAACTAACAATAATGATCCTCTTTTGACATTTGTCTCTAACCCAAGGTAGTAAGCAAGTGAAACCAGTATACTCAACATGAATCAACCAGTACAGAATTAAAGGGCTCATGATTTCATTTGTTATAGGTGATTCTTAACTCAGAGAAAATTGAATTGGGCTTTTGAAGGTGTCTGTCATGGGTAGGTTGACCTATATCCCAACACATTATTTCTAATGTGCAACCGCTGATAAACTTTTACACACCAGAACTGATTGTAGTACCTATGTATGAGAATTTATATGCAATTTAGCAAGTGTTAATCTTTTAATTTCAGCTTGTCTTTTCAAACTTCAAAAATCTTTTTTTGAATCCAAATTCAGAGAACACTCCTCTCCCAACCACAATTCATTAATACTAGATCATAAATTTGAATATTCCACATTATATGTCTTCATTTGAGTCACTGATGACAGGATTTGAGTAGAAAAGGTCAAAAAGAAAGCCCTATGATTTATCCTCAGAGACCTTTATTCAGGCCGATGCCAATCCATCAGTGAATTCTATTTGACTTCAATTGGTCAACTGATTACATCAGCCTAACTGTATTATATTTAAACTGCTTTCTATTCATCATGGGTGCATAATAAAAAAGTTAGTCAAATGTTTTGATAAAATCATTTCCTGGTCTGCCAGTTCATTAAATTTTTTATAAAAGCTCATGAGATTAGTTTAGCATAATTTCTTCTTTGTGAATTCAGGCTGTATATATCAGTTATTGCTGCTAATTGCTCTCAAAATATCCATCTAATAATACATTCTAGAGATCTTTCAGTTCATTATGTCAGGGTCAGGACATCTTCACTCTTTTCTCCTCTCTGAAACTAACCAAAAACAATAAGGCAAATTAGATATAGAAACTGAAATTGTCATTTTTGCTTCCTTTTTTTTTAGTGCTGGGGATCAAATCCAAAGCCTCGCATATTCTAAGCAAGTGGGCTACCACTGAGCTATAGCTGCAACTTTAAAACTTAATCTTTGATGTAACTGGAATGCTTTTATAACCTTGATTTTTTAAAGTATCATTTTATTTCAAACGCAGTGAAAATGAGATCAAGATGAAGAAACCACAAAGAACACCTGCTGCTCTGGGATTCAGGACAAGGATAAAATTTCAAAAAGTAGGTGGCACGGCCTGTGAGCAAAACAGATCATCTTTGTTTTTAAATAAAATCAGTTTCAGTCTGGTTCGTAGGGAGGAAGTCCTGGAATTCTGTTTGAACAGCACATAATGGCAGAGGAGGTACAGATTGGAAAACAGAGGAATATGACACCAGAAGTGCACCCATACACACACCTGTACCATACAGCGAGTGCTTTCTGATGAACAAGGAAAGTTCTTGCTGGGTAGAAGCGGAATCGATACAGGAAGTAGGGCTCCTAACAGCTTCCACAGATAAAGATGAACTCCCTACTGCTCACCACTCTCCTGCTCTCTCTGGCATTCCCACACAGAATAGAGCTAGCGCACAACTCTTGTGACATAACTTACAGTGGTAACTGAAGACTATCATGATGCTAATACAAAATAGGTGCAAATGGAGGAAACTGTCCAAATAACATTGTTAGAGAATACACAAAAAGAAGCATGGGATATATGAAAATTGTTATAAGAGATAAAATAAATGTGAGCCAAAATAATTGTACCATAGAAATAAAGGTGAATAAACGTTGTTGAAGATAGAAGATATGCTTAAATTGGGGAGGGGGAACCAAATGAGAAATAAAGAGTTAAAAATTACTAGAGAAGAAATGGTGGGCATGGAAGAGCAAAATAAGCTCTATCACATGCATAATTTCTGCTTCTGGAAAGAGAACAGAAGAAATATGTTTCCAAGAAAGCTTTCCTGAAACATGGAAGGTGATCTATAGACTTATAGGGCATTATGGTGTCCTAGGAAAAATTAATACATGTTGATCAGGATATATATTCTTGTAATATAACTGGACTTCACAAATAAAAGATATGCTTATATGGGCTTCTAGACCATGGAGTCAAGTCTCCTATGAGAAATTTTCCTGCTGGCTCTAAATATCTGAATAACAACATTCACTGCCAAAATTAAGTATATAAATGATACAGGATCATCAGAGAAAGAGAATCTGACCTGCCAATTGTACAACAGCCCAATAATAATTCAAAAATAAGCATAATGGACACAGTTCACACATGCAATAATGTAGGAAACATGGTTCCCATAAGACCTTCTCAAAGAAACTTCTAGAAGCGAGTCTTGAGGTAACTAGGCAATGAATAGAAAAATGGATAAAAGAAAGGAACTTATTTAAATATAGTATAATGACTAAACAACTATAGGACTTTTGGTTGCATAAAAGGCTATAAGTACACTAAAACTTGACAAGGCACAAAGAGTAATAGAACAAAGTTGGGAGATAAAAGGGACTAGTTGGGAGATAAGGTGGGACAAATATACTGCTTTCTTTGTAACTTGCAGTAGATGAGTGATATTTTTCATAGCTAATAAATCAATGTATGGAGGGGTAAATATATACTGAGAGCACAAAAATAACAAGAGGTAAAGTATATGGAGGAAACAGAGATACACATTTTTCTTCTTAATTTACAGCAGAGTTGATAAGTTCTACTTAAATAAGTAATTAAAATCTATTCCAAGCTTCCCCAACTCAACATTCTGTACTCTGTGGTATGAATCTTTTTCCCCTGTTGGAAAAATCTTCTTTATTTCTCCACAATTCTTTGAAGAGTACTAAAATAGTTCTGGAATAATATGTGCCAGTTCTTCTTAGCACACCAGGTAAGCTTCACCTATAGATACCTGAACTCATTGAAAGCATCCAGGGAGGACAACCTGGATTTCATAGTATTCACGGTTCATTCCCACGAATCTCATTGGTTTATTTTCCCTCTCCTTTGCCAGTCATGCACCAATCCAACCAATGTCCATTCCCTTTCACTGAGCCCGATGCTGTTCTGGGGTGCAGGTAAAGCCCTGCTCTCAAAATGTTCATAGTCTAGTAAGGAGGCAGACCAATAACTTTAATAAAATACATTTCTTAATATCAGGAGTGTCTGCCTACACAAAAGTTCAATTTGTCTGGTTCGTTCCAGAAACACTTTCTGGAGAAAGCAGCATTTCAGTTGATTTTTGAAGAACAAGTTTTCACTAGACAGGGGGAAAATAACTTTCCAGGTGGAGGATATGAAATAAGAAAAGCCCCAGAAGAGTAATGACCACATTGGTTTGAGTGAGATGTGACTGTCCTGGGAAGCAGGGGGCAGAAGTAGCCCCAGCGATTGTTCTCTACATTGAAGTAGAGCCCAGGCTTCTGGGTAATATTGTACATAACAATGATTTTGCCTTGAGTCTAGCAGCGTCACACTTAGGTTTGAACTCAGACCACAGGCCATTAAACCCTCCATGAAACTTGCTTGACCTCTTTGCCAAGAAACAGCCCAGTTGAGAACTGGATTGACGACCCCAGTGAGTAGCGCACGACCCTACCCAGTTGCGGCTGGCCATGGGCTGCTCACTCCTGGTCCCAATACAGCTTTCTCAGGACATGCTTCCAGACCCCTTCTCTGCTGGGTCTCACCTTTGTCTCCGGGGCCTCTGGAGTCTTCTTGCCTTCCCAGGCCCAGCTCCGCTTGGTGAAGTAGTTGACAGTGGCGAATTCGATCAGCGCAGAAAACACAAAGGCATAACAGACGGCTATGAACCAGTCCATGGCCGTCGCGTACGCCACTTTAGGTAAGGAATTTCTGGCGCTGATACTCAAAGTGGTCATGGTGAGCACAGTGGTGACACCTGGGGAGAGAGAAGATGGCAGTAGCTGCAAAGGGAATACATTGAGCGTGTAGTTGAGGTCGTCACCCTCCTACTGGGAAGAAGGAGCTTTACTCTATTCCATTCACGACAGCCTCTCTAAAGTAAAATACAGAGAATGCCAAAGCTGGATGAGCCCACCCAATACCCACCCCACAGAGAATGTCTCTAAGCAAGCTTTCCTGAAAGACGGGCATCGATCTATAGACTTAAAGGGCAATGTGGTGTTCTAGGAAAAATGAATCAGGGTATATCCTTGGAAAACAACTGGACTTAGCAAATACAAGATACATTTACATGGGCTTCTAGACTACGGAGTAAAGTTCCTTTCTCATGCTGGCTCAGGGATAGGAACAGAAACTGGCACAGGAATAAGAACCTTCAGTGCTGCATTTCTAACAGTTTTTCTCTGGTCTCTGCTTAAACGTTTCTATCAAGAAGTATGTAATCCATTTCATCATAAACCGCTTTCAAATTAGAAAAAACCTTTTACAGCTGAAATCTGCCTTCTCTAACTACTAGCCCACTAACTGATCTCAGAGTTCTCTCTGTGACCACTTGGCGAGAAAAGTTCTGCTCCCTCCCTCTCCGGGCCAGGCCTTCAGGGACTTGAGAAGGGAGGCTATGATATCTTGTGACTCTTCTCATCTCCAGAATGAACATGGAGATCAGTGTTCTCATGAATTCTTTTTTTTTTTCAAACAGTATCTGAATATGTATCCCAAGCTGGCTTCAGTCATGTGTAATACTCCTGCCTCAGCCTCCCAAGAGTGCCGGGGTTATAGATAAACTTCTGTTCACCGCCTTCCCCACCTTGGTAGTTTTCTTCTGAGAACTGAGCTTAAGACTCAGGATGTGGACTGAATTCAGTAGGGTTTTCACTTCTTTCATTCTGGATCATCGTCTGATACCGCAACCAACCAAAGTTACCTTACACCCTCGGTCTCTACTGAGCTTCCTGGACAAAGTATTCCAACTATGCATGTCTTGTAAGGTTTTTGGAAATCCAGAGCTTTGTTTTTAGAAGAACTGCTTCCATTATCCTTGCTTCACTTTGAACTTACATTTAAAAGTTGTTGTTAAAATACATATATTTATGAATGCACATTTGTGACCCATAAATTTATGGGTCTTGAGGAAATGGTACATATCCACATTGCATCTTGATCATTTTTAATCTCCCTTTCCCGTTCTGCCCTCTCCTCTCCTTCCTTCCCATCTCCATAGTCTACCTCCCAGTTTCCTACCATCTATCTCTTAGTTTGCTCTCTAAATGATTTATATTTTTGGTTTCTTTTAAAAACTTCTTGTATTTTAGATATGGGTGTGAGCCATATAGTGTTAAGGGTGACAGTGTAAGCTTTACAGTCAGACCAAGCTCAACAGAAATGTGGGAAATCCCACTACCTAGTAATATGGCCTAGAACAAGCCTGGCAGTAAAGAGATTTGTTGAGGAATTGAATGAGATGATATTTATAAAGTCTACAGCAAAATACTGGATGTCGAGTACTCCACAAATGGCATATATAACTGATGATAGGATTCTACGGTTATTTATGATCATATTATCAAAATTAGTGGTATGATATGGTGCTGTCATCATTTTATAATTGTTGGCAATAATTCTGTAGTTTTAACGAGTACTCCACTAGAAGGTAGAAGTTCTGACTGCTGCCACTTCCTTGTTCTGTATCTTGGCAATGTCTTTAACCTCTCCTTACCCTGGTTCCCCCCACCCATCGGCCCATCATCTCTCAGGGTCACCTGCTGTCCTGCTGTCTCTATCTCCTGGGTTTCTCATACGGCACTTGAAGTTGCTGCCCAGGAAAGCAAGAGGAGAAAACACTGCTCCCGATAATGCTACCCAGAGGCAGCCTCCGTGGTTTCTTCTGCCTTGCTGCACTGAACACCTTCCTTACACATGCGCTACACACATGAACACCCACACTGCAAAGGGCTCAGCACCATGTGAACGCAGAGCCCAAGGAGTTACCTCTGCCCACTCCAGCCAGGGAGCCAGAAAAGCTGATTAGCAAATTCTCTTTTAAGTCATGTAGGGAATCAATTATGGACCAAGGGCCTGTCAGGGAATGATCTGAATCTATGCCTCGCTAAGATCTGAGAATGTACCCTAGGGTCAATGATCCTTCGATCATACCAAGGAAGCAGTGACTTGTGGGAGAAAACAGCTTCATCTTTCATGGCAAATGCAGTTATCCCAAGAGCTGGGGAGAACTATTCTGTGACACCAGTGTGTCTGTGTCCCGTTTCAGTAGGGTTTTAGAGCTCTGGCCTCTGAGGTTTAATTAAGACTGTCATCTTATGGAGAGCTCTTAGCTGCTCAGAGCTGGCAAGACTCTCAATCAAGCATCGGTATACTTCATGGAGAGACAAAGAAATTCTCAGCATTTTAAAGAGACCTGGACTGTCACCCAATGCTTCTCTTTCAAGACTGTCCTTTGAATCCTTTCTGGAGCACTCAGTGGAACTGACTGACGGTGTTACACCTGAGCGCTGCTAGCAACCTCCCCTGACAACAGGTGTCTGTCTTACCAAACTGCAGGTGTAACCAGTGCAACTGGCTTTCATCCTCAGGCCCGGCCAATAGCCCAAGGCGCCACAGTACACGCTCACCCTGCAGGAGTCTTGGTGCACGCTTCCTATAGTAACTGTATTGTAATTATCGGTGATAGAGTTCGTCTTGCCTCCTTTTCTTCAACATTAGCAACTCCCTGTTCTGTGCCTTACACAGAGTTGGGTCACAGGGATTCAGAATTTAAAACGTTTCAGACACCAGCATTCAAAACGAGTACCCATTCTCTGCCCCTGAGTTAATGAGCATGAATCATGCTTCACCCCCTCCCTCGAGGGCAAAGCTATTTAGTCATTGTCAGTCAGGCTTTGTCTTTATATGAATTAGTCAAACTTGTTCCAAAGCAGAAATATCATTTTACATGTGAGTTCCGATTGCCACTCAAGCTCTGATAAATTAGTCATCTTTTTAATTTTGACCACTCTAGTGTTTAAAGTGATATGTCCATGAGGTTGTAGCTTAAATTCCCCTGATAATACTTGTTGGGAAGGATCTTTTCACTCGCTTATGGAGACTTGGACATACTCCTTGGTGAACTATCTGCTCGTGTCGTTTGCTCATTTATAAAGCTGGATTCTCTGTCTTTTCATTATTGAATTGTAGGGACTCTTTATATTTTTGAGAATATATATCCCTTGACAAGCTCATGTGTCTTACACAATGGGATGGCCGATACATTTTCCTAATGTCACCTTTTGATGAGCAGAAATTGTTTGATTTTCATTAAGCCCAATTTATTAGTTCCTTTTCCTTGATGTTGTTAATTTTGGCGCACTAAGGAATTTCTATCTACCAAAAGTTGCAAAAGCATTGCTTTATACATTCTTCTAAGAGCATCATATTTTTAGTTTTTACATTGAAGTTCATGATCCATCTCAAATTCTCTGCAATGCCTTCTTTGTAATAAAGTTTCCATGTACTACTTTTAAGCCCTCTCTGATGTTTTGTCTATGTATTTTTCTTTTCTTTATACCAGTAGCACACTGTCTTAATTACTATAGCTTTTTAATCATTTGTGACATCTTGTGGGATAAGTCTCTCCACTTCATTCTTCGTTATGCGGGTACTGGCTATTCTTGGCTCTTCGTACTTACATAAATATTCTGCAGTCACTTTTTAAATTAACACTTCAAGTTGGAGGTTTTCGCATCAATGCAATTACTGTAAATATGAATTCTAAATTAGTAGGAGGCCAAATTTGAATTAAAAAGTAATTTCTCAAGGAATTCCACATTTCATACAAAGCTCAGGCCAAAATAAAAACGTTGTCTTATTGCCTCTTCTCACTGAAATGTGTAGTTTTCTAGTGCTCTCTTACTTTGAGTGTGTAGCAATTCAATGGCACTGGATTTATAGAAAAGATCTTTGTACTAATTTTCTGTGGCTTCTGAAACAAATGAACTCAAATTTGGTGGCAAAGCAACACAGATCTGTCCTCACTGATGTTGGCACCGGAAATCCACAATCAGTTTCCCTGGGTGAAGGTCAAAGTGTCCTGTGGGGGGTTGCAGAGAGAAACTCAGTTTTCAGAGCAACCTTGCTTAGACTCCTTGTCGCTTGGGCTTCTTCAAAGTAAACAACAGAGCATCTTCCAGTTTGTTCTGCTTCCATCTCATTTGCTTTCTCCTTCCCATTCAAACTCCCCTCTGCTTACTGAGGAGAACACTCATGGCTCCATGTAGGGTCCCTCCACATAACACCAGATAACTGCCCCCGGCTCAAGGTCCTTATTGTAATGCCATCTGCAGAGTTACTTGTTATATTCACAAGTTCCAGAGACTTGGGGTCATTGTTCAGTGTACCACAGTATTTTTTGGCAACTTTTACCTTGAATCAGGCTCAATGCCTTTGTATGTCACCTTAAATTTTAAACACTTGCTTACCAAAACCAGTAATCCACCCACTCTTCCTCTTGTGAGGACCTTACCATTTTATGTGCACAACCCTCCAGTTCTTAGTTCCTTCTTTCCTTTGGGCCTCTGAGTCTTTCCTCTAATGTTTCAGGAGCTCAGATGTCAAATTAAAGAGTGTTTTCTTATTTAGCTATTCTAGGACTTTGTAGAGGAAGGCTTTTTAGGGTTTCTGCTTTGTTGATTTTCTGAAAATGGACACCATTAGGTCACTCCCAAATAGCTTCTGCTCCCTGCACTTGACTACAATTATTCTTTTCCAGATCACCAGATCTAAATATATCACAATACCCCACTGACAGACAGTTTCTGTCTGCATGCTACATGAACTCACAATAGGATTCGCCCCAGATGATCATTCCCTGCTTCTTAAACACTTTCTTCTCTTGACTTCCAACAGGTCACACTTTTCTGGTTGTTTTTTTTTTTTTTCCTGCTTTTCAAGTTATTCTTACTCTTCCTCCACTGCTGTCTCCTCCTAGACCTGATTTAAAGTGTTACTTCTCTCTGAAACATCACATACTGTTTATTTAATTAATGACAAAAGTACAGCTTTGGGATATTGGTAGAAATGCCTTCTGCGTGGGTACCCAGTACACCCAAGTCTACGCTTCACAGCCTCCATTACCAGGAGGCAGCTTAGTAGCCTAAAAGTATTAATTAATATTTATCTCCTAAAATCATGCAGTGAGAAAAACAGGCAGAAAATGTTTCATATATTTTAAGTCTCTGAGGACAAAGTGCTAATGATATGCAAGCCTCTTCCTAGATATTAGGAAATTCACATTAAAGAGGCTTTTCTAACTGAGGTACAGTTGAAGAACCCTTGTGCAGCCTTTACTAAATAGCAGCTAACTCGTACCTTCACAAGCACCAAAGCCAGATGCTCTTAGAAAAAGTGATTTTTTTAAAAAAAGCCCCAGATCACATCTCTGCTGCCTCACTCTTTACCCTCTCCAATCTGTACAAAATTCCTCTTTCTCACTGAAGGGTCAGTTCCTTCCCAACTCCCAGGGGCAAGCTTGACTGAGACAGGAAGCAGTTCAGTAATTTACTTGGACACTCTTCTCTTCTTCCCACTGCCTGTTAAAAATTCAGGTGCCTGAAATCAAAACAACACTGAGGTTCCATCTTACTCTGGTAAGAATGGCTATTGTCAAGGACTCAAAAAACAGCAGAAGTTCATGAGCTTGTGGGGGAAAACAGAATGCTTGTACATTGTTGGTGGAGATGTAAACTAGGGCAACCACTATGGAAATCACTATGGAGATTCCTCAGACAACTAAGACTAGAAATTCCATTTGACCCTCTCTTGAATATCGTCCTGAAAGAGTTAAAGTCATCACGTTACAGTGATCCATGCACAACCATGTTTACAGTGGCACAACTCATAAGAGCTGAATCTTGGAAATAGTTTACTCATCAACACATGAGTGGAGAAAGAAGAAAGGATGTATACACACAGTGGAATACTACTCAGCCATAAAAATGGATAAGTTTCAGTCATTTGTAGGAAAATAGATGTACTTTGAGACTATAATATTAGGTGAAATAAATCAGACATGGAAGGTTCAATATCACATATTTCTCTTATATGAGAAATTCAAAATAAAAATAATTTAAAGAACAAAGTACAAGAGAGATGTTAGGCCATGGGGTGAGAGACATTATAGAGCTGGGAGGTTCTGGGGGGGAATGGGCGGGCGGGGGAGAGGGAAGAGGAAGTTAAATGATCAGTGTGAAATATGTACATGCATCACTTCCCCAAGATGCATGGCAAACATATATAATGAAAAGAAGAAAACTAAAACAAAGGTTTCAGATGCCTGAAAGCCCCAAAATCGGATGCCTCAGTTACTACTGCTAGGCTCTGACACTGCTCCTGCACCTGTGGGAATCGTTTCCCCACCTTTCTTGCCTCTACCCTCACTGCTGTCCAAGGACTTCATGAATGTCTTCTTCCATTCTTCACAAAACAGCACTTACCAAAGACCGTGCGTGCAGGGACAGACTCTCTGTTGAGCCAGAAAGACACTTGTGACAGAATGACAGTCATGATACATGGCAAATAGGTCTGGATCACAAAGTAGCCAATTTTTCGCTTGAGATGAAAGTGGGTTGTCATGACGACATATTCTCCTGGAGAGAGAGAGAGTAAAAGTTGTCAGTATGCAGTCATGCAAACATCGCCAAAGCAAGTTTGGCCCAATTTCAGTCCATGAGGTTCCTCAATCTCACATCTAACACAAGACATATTGGAACCTCCCAAGCTCATGTAACCAGAGGTCTTTAATAGTCATGAAATAGTGTGCTTTTGGTATGCCAACAGGATACAAATACAGCTTTCTTGGAGCAATTTTGACCCAAGTTCAATCAAATAAAGTTGATCTTCCTATTTAAATAGTAATAAGAAGTAGCAGTCTCTTCTAGAGCACTTGCTGTGTGATGGGCACTCACATAGCCCTTTAACTTTAACAAAATATTTAATTTTTGTAACAGTTTCTTGAATAAGGTACTACTGTTATCCTCATTTTATAGACTAAGAAATAGACATTGAGCAACTTGCAGAAGGTTACCCAGCTACTAAGTAGTGAAGCCCAAATTTGCACTCAGATAGACTGGCTCCCCTGTATATGCATTTTACCCACCATGTTCTGCTGTTCTAATGCAGTTATTTTATTTATTTATTTTGTGGCACCCGGAATTGAACTCAGGACCTTGCGCTTGCGAGGTAGGCGGCAGAACCACTGTGCTAAATCCCTAGCCCTCTAATGTAGTTAATTGGTTACAACAAAATGTTCCCAGAGTAGAATGTGGGCCAACCCGCACTACCTCACTTCCCAAATAAGAGTAACTACTTACTGAGTTTTAATGTGTGCCAAACAGCCGCCTTGTCAAGTTATGTACAAATTGATACTTTGTTAAATCCAAAAGTCAATTCTCAGTTCTCTAGATTTGTCAGCAGTATTTTGCAGTTGAGTTGTCCATTCTTCTGGAGTCACTCTCTTCATAGAAACATCTAGAAACTAATTCTCTTCTTGTCTCCATTTCACTTCACTGACCACTCACCCCCAGTCACCTTTGCTGGCTCCTTAATTTCTAATTGTTCGATGATATCCAGACCCAAGGCTTATACTTCCCTTTCTGTCTTACTCACTCCTTTGAATTTCATGTCCAGCCTGTGTCTTTAAACATAGTGAACTATGCTGATTTTTGTGTGTATCATCTGCCTGGACTTCCTACTTGCTTTGGGTTGAATGGTGTCTACAAAGACATGGCAAATTCTTGACCCATAGTACTACAGAATGTGATCTTGTTTGAAAAGAGGATTATTGCAGATATAATTACAGTAATACTTCAGTTCAGAAATGCTTCTGGTTGCAAACAATTCAGTTCATGAACAGAAGCATCCAGCAAAACTGTGCTTCCATTGGTCAACTCTGCAATGGGTGGTAAACACAGCCATGGCCATTTTCTCCAGAATCATGAAAAGAATCAAGTTTGTGAACCAAGGTACCACTCTACATAATATGAGTCCATGTGGAGTGAAGTGGGCCTAAATTCAATATGAGTGATGTTCTAAACCCAGAAGGCAAACACCGTGAATAGCAGTAGCAGAGGTTGGGGTGATGGATCCACAAGCCAAGGAACACTAACCATCGTCAGCCCTCAGCAGCATAGAAAGAGGCAGGGCCAGACTCTCCCATGGAGGCTCCAGATAGATATAACCCTGCCAATGCCTTGGCTTCTGAACTTTGAGCCTTCAGAGCTCTGAGACAATGAATTTCTGTTGGTTAAGCTTTCCAGTGTGTGAAACATTGATAACGGAGCCTTGGAGTCCCCTACACACAGGCAAACGTGCACATGCGCGGGCGTGCGCACACACACACACACACACACACACACACACACACATTTACATTTGACCACCTGTTGAACATCGCTGTTGTGGGATCTAATAGGCATCTTGCTGTAACACGTCCAATAGACTGTCCCATCTCAAACAATGTTAGTTCTCAAGTTCTTAGGCCTAAGTCAAAATCTTCAACTTCTTTAACATCATTATTCTCTCTCTCTCTCTCTCTCTCTCTCTCTCTCTCTGCCATGCAGATGCACACACATATATGTAAATGCAAACACAAAAACATCAATCAGCAAACTCTTCCTGTTCCTTTTTTCCAAAATGCATCCATAATTTTGACCACTTCTGACCAGCTTCACATCAATACCCTGGTCTAAGCTGCCATCACCTCTACCTCTCCCCTGGATCCCGGCCACAGCTTTCTTCCTACTCTCCTCATCCTGCCCTTGCCACCTCTTCAGTGCACTCTTAACCCAGCAGCCCCTAATTCAGATCCTGTCCCTTGTGTTCAAGCCATTCTGCTGGTTTATCATTTCTTGAAGACTAAAAGCCAAATTGCTTCAAATAGTCTCCAAAGGCTCATCATATTCAACTGCTGGAATACTTATCAAATCTTATTTTTTACCTCTCTTCCCTCCACCCACATTTGGTTTTGGCAGGATTCCCAAATGAGGCAACTGAATGAGGCAATTTCCCACTCTTACCCTGCCCACTCCCTTGTACCTAAGCCCAAGAAGCACCATCTGGCCACTCAAGGCTTAGGATGTAATCCATATTCTGTGCATGTTCACATCTTGTTTATGTCATCACAAAAACATACACATAGGCTAATGGGTGATTTAGCAAAGGATCTCATATAAAGATATGGATTGTTTTCCTTGACACAACTTTGTAGTTTTTCTTTTCTTTCTACTTTTCTTTCAGTCTCTCTGTGTCTCTCACTCTCATCTATATTTATCCCTTTCTCTCCTTTTACTTTCTTCTCTCTCCCCACTCCAAAAGTAATGAGGACTTATTTTTCCTGAATATTGGACTTTCATTAGCTTTGGCAATCCCTTCCCCATCTTAGTTTTATAATCCTGAACCCTTACTATTAATCTTATCGTTCATTAGATATGTAAAATATTTAATATATAAAATATAATAAATCTTATTCATAAAGCAGTTACATTCTGTGGATCTAAAGGCAAAGCATATATATTCTTCAAATGCTTATCAAATTAACCATTAGTTTTGACTAATTGAATATGTTTTTCTTCACTCTTTCTCTCTTGCCTTCTGTCTCAGCTTTGCTGGCTCTGTTTCAAAGAGGCAAAGAAAAATCTCCTTATTGAAAACTAAAGCCTTTCACCTGGTTGGAGAGATTTCTCCCGTTCCTGCTCTTTTATGGGAGACTGTCTGTGTCCAAGGGGAAATAGTCAAAAGGACAGTGAAAAGCCACTTTTGCATATTCACAGGCATTCACAACCTGGATAGTTTCTATGGTGAAGAATTATAATTGGACTTTTAGAAAGCCTGGCAAATTACTTCATTGTATCAAGTGGCTGAATAGGTTCTTTTAAAAAATACGACTCAGATATTTCATATCTCTCTAAATTTCACCTCTGCCAACATGAGAACTGAAGCTTGGATCACACTGGAAGGTTTTTTCCAACTTCTCTCGTCCTGCTTCCATCCTTGTGAACCAGTTTATTAAGCTTATTAAGTACCATCTGTGTGATGTGTGAAATTTTCAGGGGTACAATATAAAACATAACTCATAATACACACGTCATCACGCAGAAGTTATTATCTGTGGATCCGAATTGCAGAACAGTTTAGCAACCTGACACTTCACACACGGTAGATTTTCTCGAGGCAGACTGCAATCGCCCCTCCCTCCTTGCTCTCCGACAGCCTTGCTCTGCTTTTCTGGTTATGAAGCATGACCCTTGAAGGGGTTTGGGCATCCTCCTCCTGCCTTTGCACTCCAGCTCCAGCCTGTTAAGCTCCATCTGGGTTCAGTATGAAATATTTGAGGTTACAATGGAAAACACATTCTCTATTTAGCTAGTTTCTAAGGTGGTGAAACACATAAGAGGAGTTTTAGATAGCTTGGCAAATTAACTTGTTATACAAAGTAAGTGTTCAAAAAATAAGTAAAGTTTAAAAACCTAGCTCTCTCTTCTCTCTCTCTCTCTTTCTCTCTCTCTCTCTCTCTCCCTCCCTTTCCTTTCTCTATACTTGCCTCCTGTATTTTTTTTAATTTCCACCTCTCTGATCTCTCTCCACCACCCTTCTGGTTTCTCTTTTGTCTTTTTTACCCGTGTTACACATCTAGAGATGATATACACAATGACAATAATAATAAAACTGTTATGTTAACAAAGAACCAATGTCTGGGAATGACGGATATATAAGAACATGCATTCTGAACTATCCTCCTAGAAATTAATGCAATACTTTGTCAAAGGAAGAAAAACGGAATCTGTGCTGAAAATCAGGAATGGTTTCGATAACCAGCAGTGGATTTTGAAGACTTTCATTTATTTATTTAACACATGTCTGAGTCTGGAGCAGAGTGCAAGAGCTCTATGTTTGGTGCTGCTTCATGCTGAGAACCGCCAGCATTTGGAGAGAGAGCCAGTCCTACCACACCCAGCTTCCCATTCATATGCTGGACTGTGTATGGAGAAACCTTTCCAGGCTCCACAAGGGAATGATCATAATTTATAGTCACAGTGAAAACAATATGCATATATGTGAGACAATAATACTGACATGGCTCCTAAATCAAAAGGGTTTCAGAAAAGAGCACGCAGCAAGGTCTCCTGTCCACATCTGTCTCCAAACCAGCCATTTTATTTCTTCTTCCTCCAGTTAAGTACAGGTCACAGTTTCTTTCTGGAGTATCTTAGATTTATGACGTTAGGTGTGATATATGATGTCATATATATATATATATATATATATATGCTAGCTTCAAAGCTGATTTGAAAACATTTATTTACATTAATTAAAATAATGTAATACAAATACAGCAGACAGATAACATGAAAGAAAATAATAAATGTGGACTAAGGATGTAGGTCAGTGATAGAACAGTTGCCTTCCATGAACAAAAGACTCTGGGTTTGATGCCCAGCAAAGGTGATGGGGAGAAAGAAAGAAGGAAGAACAGAAAAAAGAAAGATAATATGTCTAGCTATGAACCTACATTTTTGTATGTGGGGGGATTTAGTACATGATAAATGTAGCATCTTAAATCAATAAGGAAAGACTTCATTAGTGAGTACTGTTGCATTAGGACAACTCACCTCATCATGTAAATCAAAACAAATTCAAAATATATTTATAATGCAAATTTGTAAAAATGGAAGCAACAAATACCAAAAAATACAGGTGAAACGTCAGGAGAATGACAACAGGAGGTCACCAGCAAGTGAGGGGCTGTGCGACTGTGGGATGCAGATGGTGCGCAGAGAGGAAGCCAGCAGAGGAAGCAGATGGGCCCCTGAGGCCCAGGAGGCCCTGCTGGCAGGACACAAAGAGCACCCACATCTGCAGGCTGCAAGGACTACAGAGTTCAGAGGTCTCAGGAAGAGAGGCAGGAAACAGGGAGGTTAGCTGAAAGTCTGTACATAGAGTTGTTACTACCTCCTCAGACACTGACTGCAAGAAAATGTTAACTCTCCCAGGCAAAAGAAAGCTAGCCAGTGCTCACTTCGACACACTGGCAAATCTCTGTGTAGAGAACTAGGGCAATCTCAGTGGATGGTTAGCCCCTAGGTGAGAAATGCAGTCCCCCAAAGGGCTATCATACTAATAGAAATACTCTTTGATGATTGTCAACTTTTGAAATCAATCTATAGAGAAAATATTGAAGGTTTAACTGTAGGTATAGAACTGTATTCGTTTCCTATTGAAACTCAAATTTGTTTATTATACTTCTGGAGGTCAGAATTCTAAAATGGGACTTAAGGTTTTTTAATTAAAAATGAATGGTACATAAACACCCATCTGAATGGCTAAAATTAAAAAAAAAATCTACCTAGCCATGTGCTGTCAAGAGGGCTTAATGTCAGTTCATTGTGTTTAAATTTCTACTGGTTCTTCTAAAATAACAATTTTCTGTAGTACAACACGCTCCTTTCCATGTATGTTCTTTTTCAGCTTTGTAGAGGTTATGTACCAATTACTGATTTTTTAAGACTGTCTGCTATTGGTTCTTTAAATATGTATTTTGGTCAAATTTATTTTTCTCCTTTGAGATGTATATTAAAATAATTTGGGAACTTAGTGCCAAAAAAGTGAATGGTACACACACGAAAACTTTACACATTAATGGGCAAACATGCTGTTTTGATACACGTATACATTGTTAGCAAAGCTGCATTCTTTTCGGGCAGTTCTTGGGAAGAGGCTACCTCTTTTGCGAGCGTGTGGCCCCATTTTTCATCTTTGAAGCCAGCAGCTAAACATCTTCTAATCATTGGCTTTCTGACTCTGGTCTTCCTGCTTCTCCTTTACAAAGAGTCTTTGCAATTATGTCAGAGTTACCCGTATGACTCAGGGTAATCTCTTTATTTTGAAATCAGTAGACAAAGAAGCCTAACCCCATTTGTAACCTGAACCCCCTGTCCTTTGCCATGTAATCTAACATGTTTACAATGCTGGGCTTAGAATGTGGATCTCTTTGGAGGGTCATTATTCTGTCTACCTCAAAAACCAAATGTGCATTTTAATGTTTTGACAGTGGAAAGAAAAATTTTAGCTGGTAGTTATAGCAAGCAAGGAAGAGATGAGGATAGAAGGGTTGATAGAACAGGAAATACAGATAATTGGAAGAGGGCATAAATGAAGTGAGCTACACACTCATAAACCTCATAGTGCAGAGTCCATGTTTAATGCCTAATGGTGAAAAATAAGAGCTAACAGCATAAGCTTATTATAATTACGGAGGGAACCACCAGAATGAAAACCTAAGGGGTTAAATCATTTAATGTGCTGAGCCACTTTTTCCTCCTATGCAAAGCTAGGATAATAATACTAACCACCAAAGAGTGTTGTTAAAGTTTGAAATGGACTACTATGTGTCTGCAGGGCAGGACTTTTTACGTATTACCTACTGAAGTTTCTCATTATGAATTCCATCACCATGCCCATATATTAGTCCGATCCTCCTCGGGAAAATGAAAGAGAGTACCCTGTTGCATTTGTCTGCTCAGGCTTCTAGAACAAAGGACCACACAGTGGATGGATTAAAACAAACCCAACTTATTACCTGCCAACTCTGGAGGCTACGAGTCTGAAATGGAGGTAGCAGCAGGGAGTGTGTGTGTGTGTGTGTGTGTGTGTGTGTGTGTGTAGGCGCGTGCTTCCAATTTTCCCTTTTTCATAAGATGTCATATTAGATGAGGGGCCACCTTACTGTAGTATGACCCCATCTTAACTAATTATATTTACCATGACACTATTTCCAAATAAGATTGCATTCAGAGATATTGGGATCAGAAATCCAACATGGCTTTTAGGGGGGCATAGTTCAATCTGTAATACCCATGTTCCCAGGGTCAGGGGAAACTGGCACGTCCATGCTCTCATAATGGAAATATGAATTCTTTAACCTTTCAGAACAGCAGCTTGTCAATATGTATTAAAATTTCGAAAATATGTCCACTCTCTGAAACAGCAATGTCAACATTCTCTCTGCATGCTACACAGATAATCGTACCAGAACAAAACACTATATGAATAAAGAGGGTCTTCTCAGTTTATTGGCTAAATAGATTATGACTCATATACATGAGGCCATAAAATGAAGATGATGTTTTGCTGAGTTTCACAGTGAAATGCTATACTTCCCACTGACAACAACATACATATTGTCAAGAGTTTTCAGAGCTCGGAGGAAGACATTTTACTTTTTCTTAATTCAGAGTAACCAAAATAGTAATGAATATGTGTTCCTTCAGATCATTAGCACGTTGTTACTAAATTTTGTGTGCTTTTATTTGGATCCTGTAATCTAGTGACATGAAAATGTGTTTTAATGTAAGATTAAATAAAAGTAGTATATAAAATAGTATCAGTGATATAGCTCCCTTTATATAAAACATATTTATATAAAAATGGAAAGAATGTTCTTAGAAACCAAAACATTCAGGAATCAGTTAATCTGCCAAAATCTTCCAGGAAGATTTTTCTAGAAAGTGGAATTAGAGAGGACAGGTGTCCTTCTGCATCCCTGATGGATTGGTCTCAGCAACCCTGTGGATACCAAATCCACCAGTGCTTAAGTCCCTGGTATGAAGTAGCATAATATTTGCATAGAATCTATGGATATTTTCTCCTATACTTGAAATCGTCTCCAGATTGCTTCTAATATCTGGTGCAATGTGCATGTTACATAAATAATTTTATACCATATCATTTAGGGAACAATGACAAGAAAAAAGCCTGTACATGTTTAGTGCAGATGCAGTTTTCAAAACCGTATTTTAAAGGGAAAAAAATGAGAATCAAGACTTGCCATGTAAAGGTACATGATCCCAACAATGAATGTAACTGTACTGTATCCCTAAATGTACCGATAAACTCAATAAAAAAAAAATAAAAAAAAAACCGTATTTTAATGTGCACTTAGTTACAGAAAGTTGACTATATTTTAATTCCCAATATTAATTCTTCCACATATTAATTTTCCTGTCATGAACGTGCACTGCCCACTTGATTAAGATGGGACAGTGGCTTAACCAAGGAAAATGGCTCATGATTGATCTTAGAAGTAGATGTTTTTTGTTTTTCAAAGCCACTTTAAATGTTGCCCTTTTCTGGTCCCCAGCTGTGGTCCTAAGGTGCAGAGAGAACAGGGGACAGACAACATGACACTCTGTGACATTTTGAGATAATAGCATATGTCCAGATAATCATGGATTCTCGGAGACAAGTGTTGCTTGGAAAATAATGTGGAAAGCTCCCACCCTCACACAGTAAAACCATTACACAATACATTCTATTCTGCCAAATACTCTACACTGGTTAGGTTTTCAAGGTACCACCTTCCGTAGGCTCCTAGAACTGGTCAGTTTGCAAGTGGTCAAAATTGAAGGCTAGAGAAGGCATATTTAGTTCCTTTTGTTTGTATCTATTGGGAAAACCTGACAGGCTTTGCAAAACAATGTTTTTTTCTGAAGTAGGTGATCCATTTGAGAAAATAACTTCATGGCTACTGCCCAGCTGTGTGCCTGACCTCCAATGGGATTATCAACTTGCTACTTCAGCTTTGGCTTAGTTAAGCAAATGCCTTAATGAAATATTTAGGATCAAAACTCTCCTCCCCCATCACCATGTCGTCCCTCTGTTTTGTCTTCTATCATAACTACTTTGACCTTCCTTCTGACTGATTCCCCAAGAGGCAGCAGGCTTTGTGCTTAAAAGGGACATAAGAGCCAATCTGCCTGGGTTCCTATTTTGGCTCTGGCATTACAGAATTGTGACGTGGGGAAATCCATCGAACATCTGTATGGCCCTGTTTCCTCATCACAGCACTACCTCTAGCACAACACTGCTTTTAAAATTAAATACATTATAAGCCCTTAGAACAGTAACTGGCATGTGGTACAGTTGACACAAACATTTATTGGATAAAATAAGTAAATACCTGTACTAGACCGTATTATCTCTGTCCCGACAACATGGCCCAACAGGTCATACTGGTTCAGGCGAGAGCCATCCTGTGCCACTTCCACAGATTTGTTCTTGCCAAGAGTCCAAGAATAAACCACTTCAGCTGTTGTGTAGGCATCTAAGACAGAGAAAGGTCAGGAAGGAGAAGTTGAATGGAAAGAAAAATGATGGTCCATGATACTCAACTCACATGAGATTTAAATGCAACTTGGTTTCCCCAAAAGTTCTGGGTATGTCTCCTATCTTTAATTGAAAGCCACCCAACCAACTAATGAACACTCATTTAATCACGCCTATTTGGTAGCACACACACACACACACACACACACACACAGAAATTAGCCCAAAGGAGTCTCTTCCTCCAGTGACTCACTGCTGATGATCTTTCCTTCTCTCAAAGGCTCAACTTGGAGGGGTAGGAGAGGAATGACTAAAATGTTACCTCATGAAGACAGCAAAAGCTCAAATGCCTACAGGGCCCAATACTACCTTAAATGAGTGAGTCAGGATAATTGCAATGAAAGTAAACTGCCAGAAAAGTAATAAAATTTTCTATAATTAATTATAGGGTGTGCGTATGAAACAAAGCCAAAAATTCAGACTGGTGATATTTTAAATTAAAAAATGAAAAACCCAAATTAACAATAGCAATAATTAATGATCACAATTTTCTTTCCCAACTTATTTATTACCACTCTGATGTGCAAACCAGAAATCTGAGATTTTTCTTTTGCACCAGGGTGTTCATGTTGGATCTTATGTTGGGAATTCCAATGTCAAGTTCAGAATGTTGTACAGATTAACAGGAGTATAGGTAAGGTGAAAGCAGGTAGAGTCATTTAGTTTTAGTCTGTTTCTTACAGGAATAAGTTTATTTCTTTTGGCCACAATTGATACTTTGCACAATGATTTCGTATTTGGGGTGAGTAATTTACCCTCACGTGAGCATCTAGGGTCATCAGGGGAAGTGAATCCCCATACTGTTTATCCCTTTCCTCAAAATTTTGAGGTGTTTGTCGTTCAAGTCAGTAAGCAGTGTCTCCAGCTCATGGTGCCAAGTGCTGTGTCCACAGTAGGCTCTATTTGAACATTTTGCCCAATGAAAATAATTTCTGGTGACTCTGCCAATGAATAAATGTGAAATATTGATCACCACAAAATTCTGTAATTCTGGGTGTACATTTTATGCTCAATCTGACATGAGATATACATCTGATAAATTTAACATCGATGATTACTAGTGTATAATTGTGAAGTGGTTACATTATACTGTGTAGGACTACTATTCAATACAGCTAAGAAATGCAATTCCTCATTTGCTTCTAATAGGCAACATGCCCCCCCAAGTGCTTCATTCATATCAAAATTCTCCTTAACATCAGGAAAGAAATGGATAACCCTATGCTGTTTATTCTGTGTTCTTACAAGCTGCAAGAGAAAATTTCACAAAAAATAAACTTTTCCACATAACTTGCACTATATATCATCTCAGTCATGTGTTCAACACACCAATACTTCTTCTTTGACATATCAATTATTTCTGTGATTGATAGATAGTTTATAAATTGGCCTCTATAAAATATTTGGACACCTGGGAAAGTACATTACTAAAGGTACACTGCATTTTCCAGCAGCAACACTTAATGTATGCATTCAGAAACGAAACTCACTGAACTTTCAGCCTGTTTTCTTTCTTTTTTTTAAATTAATTTATGGGTACATTTTAGGTATACAGTATAGTTACATTCATTATTGGGATCTTGTACCTTTACACGACAGGTCTTGGTTCTCATTTTTTCCCTTGTCCCTGCCCTCCCTTCACCCCCTCCTCTCCTCCCCATTTACAAACACTTTATTTCCATTTTTTCATTTTCTCATATTTTTTCTTTTCCCTTATTACCTTTCCCCTATCCTTCCCACTTTCCCTATACCTTTAGCCCTTTTCTTCCTATTTCACATTGTTAATTTTCTCATTAGGATCTTATGTACTATTACAGTTTTTCACACCAGAGAAACTATTCGGTATTTACACATGTGTGACTTATTTATTTCACTTGGGAGTATATCCTCAATATGTATCCATTTTCCTACGAATGAATCTGATTTCTCATTCTTTATGGCTGAGTAATAGTCCATTTTATAGAAAAAACACATCTTCTTTATCCAGTTTCCTTTTCTTTACGATGCTGTCTATACAGTAGTGGCCTCTTATCTGTGCTTCTGTTTTCTAAGATTTAAGTTATGTGCACTCAATATGGCTCCAGAACATCGATGGCAAGTTCCAGAGAAAAGCAGTTTATAAGCTTCAAACTGCACGCCATTCTGAGTAACATAATGGCAAGTCATGCTGCTGTTACCCTTCCTGCTTGGAACGGTAATCATCCCTTTGTCCAGCAGATCCACGCTGCATACACTACTCACGCATTAGTCACTCAGCGTCCACCTCAGCTGTCAGATGAACTGTTGTAATACTGTACTGCCTATGTTCAAATAACCACTACATGGCTCCTAACACCATGTCATGATGCCTACACCCTTCATGTTACATCATCTCACTAGGTAGGCACTGCATCAGCTCACACCATCACAAGAAGAGGGAGAGCAGGCAGAGAAGAGATTTTGAGAGAGTCAGAGTGAGAGATCACATTTACATAACTCGTATACAGTTTGTTGTGAGAATTGTTCTATCTTATTCTTATTTGTCATTATTAATTTTTATTGCACCTAGTTAATAAATCATTTTAATCACAGATGCATATACACAGGAGGAAATACTGTATAGACAGTTTCAGACTTACTCCTCACAGATAACGGCGATTAATGTATACCAGGTATGGCTCCTATGATGGTTGCATATTTTTGATGTCTAAAGTTTTGTTTTTCAACAAAACTATACCATGCATGCAAAGTAAAGATGTTGAAATATTTTTCATCTCTATAAGGAAATGCAAACTTTCCCATCTGCTATGAAACACAACCATCTCAGTCTTTTAGGTTTTTTTTAAATGATAGATACAGCTCAAAGAAGTATTTAACATTCCTTTTAATTGTGCTGAAAACCCTTAATTATAAGTAAAGTAAGAGTACAGATGAACTGATTAATATTATCCAAATGATATTGGAGCTCTTTTCTCATGGAGGAAGGTAAATGAAAGAGCTTAAGAGGAATGGGCAAGTGTGTGCCAATCTACAAGGGACACCCAGTAATCAGACACAGTTCACTCTGCTCATGGAAAATTTGAGGCTGGTGCTGTCAGATCTTCTGATTTCATAAAACAATAAACAAATCTGGAGTCTTATGTGACACGTCCAAAATTTCAAATCTTGGCAGATAATTGAAGAGGTGATTAATAGTGTGCGTATCAAGCATATTGCATCTGCAGCCCCAATTTAAGACCTCTGATCAAGAGACTTTCTCTTACAGATGGCTACGGGCTCTTGTGATTCACTCTTGGAAACAAAGCATCCTCCCTGACTACGGTTTATCTTGGACTTCCAACTAGAATTATAGCTCTTTAAACTACTATCACTAAAGAGAAAGAGAACCTTTCTCAGGAATCTTCTCACGCCTCTACCTAAAATTTATTTTACTAGCACGTGAGGAATGTCACAATGCTATCAGTGAAATGTGATTTCACAAGACACTTGTCTTCCACCCCTCCTCCGCGTGCTGTCGATCTTCAGCATATATATATAGTTGGGATTCTTTATCCTAAGCAGAAAATCACCTAGATATGCCTTCCTGCCTTTGCTACAAAGTGCTTGTGACATTCTCTGTTTACAGGGCAATGTTCTTCCACTGAATCCACTCAAGAGTTTTTTTGAAAGTCAGAAATGAACTTCCTTTTTTTTTTTTGGTACCAGGGATCGAATTCAGGTCCTTGCACTTGTGAGTCAGGCAGCAGAACCACTAAGCCAAATCCCCAGCCCTCTACTCAAGAGTTTTGATAATGTAAAAGCTAGCACAGGTTTTCAGGGAAAGAGTAAATGATCGAAGACTTTTTCTTTACCTCTAAGATAAAAATGAAAGTTTCTTCTAGGATTTCTGAAGTTAAACTGAGGAGCCTGAAGAAACTTCCCTGAATATTAGCCCTAGAAATCGTAGGAGATTCTATTCAACTAACAGTGCCTTTAAACATCACGAGGTCTAGAATGGAAAGTTGGTTTATGCCAAAAATTTTTAATATCCTTGAATACAATATATGAGAACAAAGGGGTTTATGGATTAAATATTCTCTATAATATGGGAATCAAAGCAGAAAAAGGTATGAACAAATGAAGGAAGACAAGTAAGAAAGAAAAATAAATCGTTTAAAAGCAAACTGAGGGCTTGGGTGCAGCTCAGTGGGAGAGGACGTGCTTAGCATGCTGAAGACTCTGGATCCACCCTCCTGACCTCCATAAAATAAAGCAAAGAAAACAAATCACAAGATACTTGATTGAATGTCTCCTTGAAACCTGACCTTGTGCTGGCAAACAAATGGTAATAAGGCCCTGTACCCCTCATCAGGGAGCACACAATCTGTTGAAGGAGGTAGAAGTGTGCCCAGGAAAGATCACCTTCCCTGCAGTATTAATGAGTAGTAGGACAGGGTGCAACTGACACCAAGACAGCATCCAGAAGACCACCCAGTGCTCTGTGAGGGAAGTAAGCTCTTAGGGCTTACTTACTTAGTGGTAGGCAATGGATTGAACTGAGTGAAACAGAGGAAACTGCAGAATTAGGACCGATGATAACTGGTAGATGGTTTTCATGATGGTTAAAACTGGAAAGAAGGAGCTTTAAGTGTCCCAGATGACTTTGAGGTTCCACCTTTTCCGACTGCATGGGTCATGATGGAATTCACTCACTCTCTGGGGAGCAGAATTCTTTTGCTTTGTACCTTCTCTTTCTGCTCTCCTGCCTCCACAGGCCTGGGGCTCCTTTAGCACCTCAGCTTTCCTCCAACAGGGCCCTCCTCCTTCTTCCCACTTCTAATTATTCTATTTCTGTGGAGGAGCCAGGGTAGGGTATGGGGTGATGCAATACCTCAGCAAGATTTTCGATGAGATAAACAGAACTTGTATGCCCCCAAAATGGTTCCCTCTGTATATTTTATATCGTCTATGATAGCACAG